ATTGAAACAACCTTATGTAAATCTTATCACGAATCCCCTCAATCGACTGGCGAACCCCTAGGGGTTCGAGTACCCCACTTGAGAAACTCTGGTCCAAAGTTAAAACCACCAGCTCGTTAAGATTCAAACACAATAAGTTAGTGTTGCCTAAAATTGCTCGCAGCCAATCCATTGTAATGTCGTTAAAGTTTTATTACACCTTAGTAACTTGATATTTACGACACGCCGCGGTACTCAACCCGGTGAATAGTTTCACTCGGGAGAAACGAATAACTCACAATTTACTGTTAGCAGTTAACTGGCATGATAATCGCGTAACTCAAATCTAATGCTGTATAAATCTAATTTAATAGTACTGTTGTGAACAATTGCAATCTGTTTAATATATGAATAAACTAAAGCTAAGTTAGTATATAAAGTTCATATTTCTATTATGGAAATCACATTTACATCTCATATTTCGTACCATTATCTATATAAAAAAACGCAAAAATCACGTTTGTTATATCTGGGGGAACCCCTAAATCTATTTTATCCTGTTTCTAGAATATGCAGTGATTGTGGCAACAGAAATATATCACCGGTGAAAATGTCAACTGTCTACCACCTATCATGGTTCGTCAGATACAAGACTGTTGACTGACGGACCGCGAAGTCTTAGTAATACGGTTCGGTTTTTTTATACTTTGGGTACAGAGCCCTAGAAAAAAAGGAAGACATTTCTTCATATAAAGTTATATAATAATAATAAAATAATTTATGCTTTAAAAACTATTAAGAAGTATATTTATATTTTTATAGAGCCAATTAGCACACGGAGTAAATAAAACGTGTTGTAAAAAGACTTTGCTAGAACCTCACCTCGATTAAAGAGCTTTGATTTCTAAATTTAATAATACCTACTAAAGTTTAACACACTGTTGTTATTTTTTTATAATAAATGCTGAAAAGGATGGATGTCTGTTTGTTTTTGCTTTGTCGCTGTCTTAAATCAAATATAATCTATGTTATGGTATTCTAATTTGGCTCGTTAGGATTTTAGTTTTTTATTACAAACAAACATACAGAAAATCATAACTTTATTCTTTAATATTAGTACCTGAAACCTGATTCCCTAATACAGAGATAAAGTTAAAAGCAAATTTAGCCTACTTCATATATACATATATGTATATCAGGGATAACATTATATAACATTTTCCAATAATATTTTCCCAATTCCCAAATTTGACAATATATCATATTTTCCCTAATAATTGTGATTTAATTAATTATATAGACATTTAGACAGACTTACAGCTTATTAGATATTAAATTAAAAAAGCCCTTTATAAAAAAGCAAAACATCGAAGTTTCAACATGAATTTCAAGACGAATCCATATGACAGTGATGTAGAAAACTTAGCGAAGTTCACAAGACATCGGGTACACCGCTGCCTGAGACGTCTCATTTGTACTTCGTGTACAAGACAATGCTTTTAACTGATCCAGTGTGTGGTGCGAGCTGGGGCGCCTACTACCACCCAACACACAGATGAGACGGAGCGTTGGTGCGATTCTACTTCAAATATTAGGTGGTTACTTATCTGAATACAACACAATTTATTTCGATATCTACTAAGTAAATAAACCCTTTTTTATGGTAAATAGATAAATATGTAAATGATTTTGTAGCTGAGGGTTATATGTAACACTTTTACAAGTAATTTGAGTAATTCATTAATAATTGGTTTTTGCACACAATTCGCCATCCACAGTCTATGTCTCTCATTGCTGGTCATAAATGAAATTCGAACTCCCAAATAGATTTTACTAATATTCCGCTTTCATAGTGAATATATTATGTATAATTCATTACTAAATTAATTAAAAAAATTGATTTGAGACGATCATAAAATCCTAAAAATAAAGAAAAATATTCAATTTGCATGTTTATAAGAGACTTGCATCGATGATTTAGAATCCGTTCAGAAAATATACGTGAATCAGATCCGTTTTATAATACATTGAACGGTAACAACAGAATCGTTTTGAAAAAACGTTAACGTATACAGCGTTGAAGTTAATAATGTTGCTCGAATCCGCGTTCTCGAGTTAACGACGAGTTGCCGGTAGGTTTCGGAGCGAGTATCATGAATCACACGGCGTCGTGACTCCATGTAATTGGTTCTTTAGGTATTAATTCAGGCGCTAGTGTTTTATGGCACAGTTTTATTAATTATCATCGGTATATTTACCGATGGTTGTGTTTAGGTGTGTTTGTTCTACATGCAAATTGTGGCTGTGATGGTCGCGGTCGCCGTTTGCATAATTGTATTCAGAATAGTAAAGTTGATTAATTTTATTAATGCAAGAACGTTTAATCATTTAGAGTTACACTCTTGTGGTTTTGTAATAATACAATCACTATTTTCGTCGTAATACTTCAGTAGTATTTTGTAATGTAACAGACAAAAATAATTCATTGAAAATTGATTCAGTAGTCTGAGCCTACTATGCAAATACACAATTAAATCTTTTCACTTTTTTTAATGTTACCGTAATAGTAGCGTGTGAGATTATTTAGAAAGTGGTCAACATTTTTATCGGTACCATTGTACCCCGTTCACGCACGGGGGGCCGGCGCATTAAGTTTTATTACGCAGCGGTCTTGCGTTTGTACGTCAAAAAAGCAAAATCTTGTACCCCCGCGGCTGTAAAAGGTAATGGCCACGAGGAATAATGCCGTATCCCTCATAATATGCGAAAGAGGGGATCTCGGTTATACACTTGAGATTCGGAAAATGCGTAATTTGACTTAATATGAAACAAAATAACAGTGCCATGTTGTGTTACGGGCGGTAAAATACCTACTAATATTATAAATGAAAAAGCAACTGTGTTTCTGAGTGTGTGAGTTCGCATAGTGTCACGCCTAAACGCAGAAAGATGAGAAAGAGGATGAAGAGTTCGATGGCGAAGTGGTTAGCGTGGTTGGTCTGCAACGCGGGGATCATTGGATGGGTGACCGAAAAAATATTATCTCGAGCTTCTTCCTATTTTAGAAAGCCCGTTTTGTCGCCCGCTGGGGTGTATAGTCGTTACCAACCGAAATTAGGAGAGACCTGGGACACCGGTCGCAGATTCGATAGGTTTCTGGTGATTATAATGACAATAATAAGATTTAAGTACTACTGTTTATGGATACGTGGGTTCAGTGTGAAACTCATATTAAGTTCAATCATATCAGAAGCGCTACTTTGTTTCTACATAAGCGGAAATTCGTCTATTTTCCAAATGCTAATATTACTCCAAATAAATCCATTTTACCGTTGTACTGTAGTGTATACCCAAAGTCAAATATTACGAGTGCAATGTACCAGTTCCCTAACCCTAGCAGTTCATCGGTCTTTTACGAATGATTTCGAGAACAAAATGCTACAAGGGTATTGGAAGGCTCAAACACGGCACTTATCGTAAAAAATAATGTGCCCCGACAATAATAACGTCATGGACATAGCAATATCAATGTAGATAGAGGCGTTCCGCAGTTGCGCTATTGTTGTACATAAGTGTTATTGTGAAATTTCTACTAACAAGTTAATTATTATGATAAATTCCGCTATGGTATTCTAGAGTTCTATATCACAGAGGCAGTTAAATATTTGCCTACTTTAGGAATTTTCATTTGCTCTCTGTTCTAACAATCACATATGTTTCATACATTTGAGTAGTTTTTTTCTACAATCAACATTTTATAAATCCCTTCTCTAAAATATGGTTGTATTGAGGTAAAAGGTTTTTACATTTAAGGGTACGATTTAGTGAGAATTAAAACTTAAGTAACAAAGCATAGTTTCCTTGAATTAATGGCGGAATAAAACATCCTGTACGTACAGAGGCTCAGTGAACTGCACAAACAAGGTACTTCATTAAATTTTAAGAATATTAACTATATTATAGCAGACCAGAGATATTTATTACGTAATGGAGTTTTTCAAATATAATTGCGGTGTAGCGTATTGTTTATGAAAAAAGAAAGCTTAGTTATTGTTGAAATCACATAACACAGATAATCCTATTAATATTATAAAAGTTTCTTTGTTTGGATGTTTGTCGGTCAATCACGCCGAAACTACTGAACGGATTTTGATGAAATTTGGTATACAGATAGGGTATTAGCTGACTTAGATAATAGGATACTTTTTATCCCACTTAACATTTCCCTAGGGTCCACGCGGGCGAAGCCGCTGGCGAAAGCTAGTATGGATATAAATACACAAAAGAAGAAAATACGATTGTGTATTAATATTGTGTATGTTTATGGATATAGTATAGTTATTTTCTATAAATAGAAGGGCATCAATAAGCTCAGGGTTTTATCGATTGCATGGGTGATTATTTTGATTAGTAAACATAAAAAATATAGGTGTCCTGTAGATCATATTATCGACAGTCGAGATATACTGATATCTCGACATGAAAGTTGTAGGTACTACAATAACGCCATCATTATTCACATCAGTAAGCTATATTTATCAACACCAGTGACCTCTACTATGTAAGATCGTTTTGCTTTAATCGAGAGGTCAGGTCAATATAACAAATCAACGCCCTCAAACAGTATTTTAAAAAGTGGCAGTCTTACATAGATTTATTGTCAAGTCCTAGATTATTAGATTGATTAGTATTTATGATCTAAGGGCAGAGTCAGCAGTCTGTTATTGTTTTGAGCTTAGGTTCTGAGGGCAAAGTGGACTTTTCGCTTTTTGCTCTTTGCTTTTTTTGCTCTATTCTTGGCTCTTTGATTGTACTCTTTTTTATGAAAACAAATTATATAACAATGATGCTATCGATTACAACGGCAGTTTCTTTCTTACTCTGTGTTATCGATAATCTTAGCAGAACATGTTTTTTTATAGTGTTTATATTCTCTTTGTAACTCAAATGTAAATAAGTCAAAGTTAAAATTGTTCTCGTAACTTTAAATTTATTTTCAAAATTTATCATAATCAAGAAATATGTTGTGTTACCGTGAGAGTAAAGCAGATACAGCTTGTAAGTTAGAATGTCTCCAAGACAAACCGCCGGTTCACGAGTTTGTAGGACCGGTGAAGATCGTCTTGATGGATGTACCCACTAACGTGTACAAGAGGAAGATGTGGCTCGCGGCGCTCGTCGGGATGGCCAAGTTGTTCATGGGGGCCACGCTCATAACCGTCCTGTACTTCGCGCTGGCCATGAAGACTGCTTTAATGCCCACACTCCATATAATCTTGTGCACATTTGGGGTAACTATTAATTTGCTCAAATCGAAAATTAAGTTGCCAATACACTTGTTTCATGGAAATCTGAAATAACAGTATAGGTTTAACTCGGAAATAAAATAGTAGCGCAGTGTGTTATAAAGTTCGATTTTTCTCATCAAGTTTTGATTACACTTTTGGATAATTTATATTATTTTAAGTAATAGACTAAAACTCCAACATTAATGCAACTGTTAGTTTATTTCTTAAAAAATTTTAAGGCCCTATTCCAGTCCGGACAAACCAAAAAGAAAAATTTAATGATAAAAGTAAGCTTTTTTTTTTTAATTTGAATATACACCTAAATTACATTTACATTGACTCACAATCTGACATCGTTTGTAGTCTGCTGCTGCGAATAGATAACAAAATATTTACTTTTTTATTATATCCCTTCTTTATTTTTTTTTCTAAAGATATAAATTATCGAAAGGCGTAATAATAACATGATGAGACAAAATCGGGGTTTTTAACACACTATGCGAAGTTACTCCAATATTCAAATCTGAAGTTTTATATTGAGGTGAACAGGTGGCGAGGGGTATGGAGATGGTACACAGAGCTCATCAAAACTTTAACATCAAGAATTTTGAATATTTTATAATACTTTTCAAAATCAAATGAATTTTTTTTCAAAGTAAAAATATTAAATAAAAATCTTATTTTAGTATCAGCTCTTTATCCCGGTCGGTATCTTGATGATGAGCAATCTGCACGGGCCGTCTTCTCAGATGAAATCGAAAGACCGCAGGAAACATCATTTCATAATACAAGTTATTGGTCTGATATGCGCACTCGCTGGATCGGCATTATCATTCCTGCATAATGGAACTCTGAAGTTAATTTTGACTCCACATTCTATAGCCGGTAATGATCATTGTTAATATTAGGTAATTTAAAAGTTTGTGTCGACCGAAGTTATTCCGTGGAGAAAAATCATAATTCACTCTATATGGAATCCAAACGCAAACATTCTGAAAGAAGTTGCGGTATCAGGATATAAAAGTATCCACATAAGAGTCGACTGAGTAACATTTGATAAGACTGATAATTGACCAAGCGTTGCAGTAGATGTTTATAGTAATATTCTGATACTCAATCTCTGTCTAATTTATGATACACGTACATGGTTGAAGGAATATATTGTTCTTTTTGATTTCAGGATTAACTGCAGCGGGCTTCGCTGGTCTAAGTTTGACGAGTGGTCCATTCCTCTTCTGTAAAATCGAAAGAGGTGACGTTTTTAACTGTTTTAAAAGTGTACACGTGTTATTCGGTGTTCCAACCATGCTCGCCTCTTCAGTGTGCTTCTGTCTGGGACTTTACTTCTCTAAAATATATAACGAGTGGGCCCCGATAAAGGAAATGGTTTTTATACCGATTATATTTTGCGCTCTTTACACATTTATCATTATATACAAGCCAATAAAGAAAATTTATAAGCCAGACGTACTTTGAATTATTCTTATGAATAAAAGCATGATACAGTATTACAGTACAGTTTTTTTGAACGCTGGAGTTCATGGCTTTCAGCTTTGTGATATATATCGTTGAACATGGAAATAGTAGCTTAGTATAACACTTATTACTTAGATATATAACAACAAATATTTCTTCATCAAAGTAAAATGAAGTATAATCTACACATATTTATTAAGTACACATCATCTGATACTAGAAACAAATATTTCCAAAAGCAATTAAGGAACGTATTAAGTACTATTCTTCATCAGGTTTATATATTTTTCACAACAACACACATTGCTTAGATTAATATGTAGCTAAAGCACTCGAATTAAGGAGGACCTTGTGCCTGAAGTGTGATTAAAAATATATTTTTTTTACTATATATAACCGATCGGAAACCGAATGCGGGACGACGATATTGATACACCTTGAAACCTATGGAGGTTGTTGAATTATTATCGAGGAAAAAGATACTTGATCCTAGCAGTGTAAAGTACATAGAATTTATACATTACGATTTCAATTATCTTTGGCATTTGGATCAAATGCGACATGTCAATATACATACATAAAATCTTATTTTATGCTTTTTTTTGAACAAAATAGTTTATTGAACTAAATTTTGCTTGGTCACAACAATCCTACAAATAGAAAAGTGAAAAGATCAGTGTTGTTCGTCATGTTTATAGTGCTAAAGTTAATATAAAATGCAAAATAATAACTTAACAATAGTGATATGAAATCAGCATTGAAATTGAAGGATAAGACACATTCCAAAGGTAATTTAAAGTTCGCTGGTCCCCTAAAGATACTGGTGATCGAAGCTAAAGGAGAGTACTATAAGACAGTCTGGTGCGCTATAGGCCTGGGTCTGGTCAATGTGATGATCGGTGCTGTCAATATGACTGCTTTACTTTATTCAGCTAGGACTGCAGATAGTCATTGTGTAATTTGTACCATAGCAGTGAGTATAATTTTTAATTCTTTATTAATATTATAAAAGCGAAGCATGAAAATATATACAGAGTTACTATATACTATACGAAATCTACATAGTATATTTAATATACCACGTTTAAAACACCGATAGACCTTTCATCAGTTTCTATTATTTTATAATATTAAAAGGATGGAAATTGATGAAATCTCGGAGGAAACTTCACTACGAATACCCGAAGTTAGTTTTTATCACCACAATAGCGTATATTTCTCTCTATTTATTTTTGGTTACAACATTATCCACATGAGACGTTTATTAGCACACGTAGGGTACCGGGAAATCTTTCTTATTGGAGACTTGAAGCACATATATTGTTAGGAGCTAAAACATGACATGTGCTCCTAACGATACATGTACAGTTTTTGAAGTTTCATTTAATGAGTGAGTAATAGTAGATATTTTGATTTTGGCATTTACAACAACAATTCAACAATTACAACAAATAAATTAGCTCATTATTATAATTTATAACTCAATGATATCTGATTATTATGTATAATTAACTAAGTAGGTATCAATATCTACACTACTAATGTTATAAAGAGGAAAGGTTTGTTTGTTTGCACTGAATAGGCTCCGAAACTATTGGAGCGATTTTGAAAATTCATTCACTTATGGACTACATCACACGCGGATGACACAGACGATAGTTTATTCGAGTGAAGTTGTGGGAATACAGCAGTTTTTTTTATGAATCTTTTTATTAAATCTATTAGTGCGTTGATATCATTCTGCAACAATGTTCCTGCCATTATCTATATTGTAAACGCAGTTTGTTATTTAAATAAGGCAACGTGCCTTTTCTGTATCCAATGACATGTTTAGGAGTAAAGAATAAACAATAGAGTTCCTAATGAGGTAATGTGTCCTGTAATGTTGTTCAATGTATATGTGTGAATTTTCTCGAATGCGATTCAATATCCATGACTGTTATTATATAATAATCTATGTAATATTTTATATGAGACTCTACATCATAGGCAAGCACTCAAAATTCGTAGTCCACATAAATTCGAGCTTTTGCTGCATTAGCAGGAAACATACGACGATTTAATAACTCTAAACAGAGCTAAAAATATAATTGTCTTACGATTATTCGTACACTTTCTAATTTTACTTTTTTAGTATCACTTCTTCTGCGCACAAGCAATTTTGAGTCTTAATTACGCCAACGGATGGTCGACGCCGATGAGACTGCGACACCGTAAGTTGGCACATGTGATGCTGCAGATTAGTGGTATGACAATAGGAGTCACCGGGACTGCAGTCAAACTAACCTCTGATTGGCCACCGTCCTCCGCCCATGGCATTACAGGTTTTTGAAGATTAAATATTCTAATATGAAGTACTTTTATATAGTTTTATTTCCTTATAATCTGTTTAGTTGCAATAGATTGTGTGTAATTAAACCACTTTTTATAGATAAAAAAAATGTCAAAGTTCGTTTAATTTTATAATGTTATAATGTTGCATACATTTATAAATTAATTGCATTTAAGTTTCATTTTTGTTTTTTTGTGGCTTTTTCATTAAGGTCGGTGCAAATCTGGCGGTAGATCCGTCAAGTGTCAAGTAAATTAGTATGTGTCAGTTCCACAATAGTTCCGTCAGATATGTACCAACCTTTAAGCTTTTAATTGAGGCAAGGTCCAATACTAGTACTGCTCAAAATGCTATAAGGGCTTTAATCTTTTTCTATATCTACTAAATTATTGTCATTGAAATCGATATATTTCAGTGCGGCAGCATATAATGAATACAATGATTACTTAATAGATTAGACTGCTCATTTGTTTACAATATAAACTTTTTTCAGTGATTGTACATTTAATTAAATTAAAACTATACATTATTCCAGGTGTAACCGTTGCATTTATGGGCTGCGTCAACGTACTCACTGGTATATGTGCATTGTGCGAAATGCATTACGGTAAAATGTTTCATATAGCGTTTGGAATGGCCACTTTTATAATGTCTTCTTTAAGTATGTGCCTTGGTTTTTTCACTGCCAATATCAAAGATTGGATTGATATTAACATAATTGTTGTTTTAACGTGTTTCATTGTGTTTTATACCATATTCATTGGTGCTACCGTTATTATCAAATTCTTATCAAAAATTTAGTTTTAAGAATGACAATTGGTCTACAATAATAATTGAAATATACTTATTATTTGTTCTATTGCAATTTTCTTGTATTATTATAATGAAAAGATAAATTTTATTATGTGAAAGAATTATTATCTATCTTTAAAGTTTTATCACTTATAAAGTCATCAAACAGATAGATTTGATAATTTATTGATAATTAATTGTCACGTCTTGTACACATGATATGATAGTCTATACATATATAAAAGGAGATATCCTGACATAGTGATTGACAGATAACTTTGAGTATTGCTGATCGACATTTAGCCGTGGCAATATTCTATTATAGGTTTAATTGGACATCAATGTTGTTTTCATTAGTTCACACATGAAAGGAAAACAACTGTGAAATTAAAAGTCGACCGAGCCATTGTGATTTATTAGTCTGTTTGTTTTGTTGACTATCTGGTAATATATTTATATATAATATAATGAGCGACAAAGAGAATCGTTTAATAATTCCATACTAATATTATTTATCGAAAGTAGGTCTGTGTATGTCTGTTAAGCTCTCACGCCTAAGCTACTAAAAATAGTTGACTTGATATAGGACAAAAGTTGCTTTTCATTATGATAAAAAGGTTTAATTAAGGATTTAAAGTTTGTATGGAAGTTCGTCATTGTCAAAGATAAAATCATTAAACTTTTTATTCAGGTATGAAATAGTGCTCAACTATACATACTAGGCATAAGCTACTTATATTATAACCCACAAATTTATGTCATTTAATTTGCAGTTCGATGCAATTTAAATACAATTTAATACAGATTTTAACGAAACCTTTTTAATTTATCAAGAAATATTTTGACAACAATTTAATAATTTTCAACTTTTGAGTATACGAGTGTATGGATTAGGTGTTGATAATATTGATCTAGCAGGTAGGTACAATTTACAATAAGGTAATTTGAATTTTCACAGACATTATAATTATGATTGATCGGACAGAAAATTTAAAAAATTGGAATGTTATTCTTGTGGTAATGTCATTGGAGTCATTTATTAGTCTGCTGTTTGTCCAAAAGGAAAATAAACCAGATTATTTTTTGGTTAAAAATCATAAGGGTTTCATTAAAAAAAAAGAGATCTCAGCTTAATTACTTTTATTTACAAGTAAATAAATAATTTCAACTAATATTAAACATTTGCATTTCAGATCCTATAAAAATAATATATGATTAAATTACAATGACTCAAAACCATTTTACTAATTTATCAAGTGATTATTTACTGATATAATAATGATGAGTATGAGTATGAAGGTATAATAATGATGAGTATGCATTATTATACCTTAACCTCAATAAAGAATTATTATTATTATAAAATTGCTTACCGACTTTTTTAAAAATAACGATAGTTACTTTCATTATACACAAAAAAATTGTATTCAGTAGACAAAATTAAATATTGTGATAGTTATGGTGAATCTTAACATTATTTTTTCGCTCTTTTCATAATCTGCTAAGATTGGATCTCTTATGAAGGTTACCGTTGGAAACGGTAACCTTCATAAGATCGTCGGTCCACCTGGACGCTCAGTGGGGCCTACTCACTGAGCGTCGCCGGGTATGTGGTCGCCATTCCAGAAAATTTCAATCTCAACAACCATTGTTCCGTCTAGCTATGTGTCCCGCCCACTGCCACTTCAGCTGAGCAATCCTTCGAGTTATGTCAGTAACGTTGGTTCTACTACGGATTTCTTCATTCCTAATACGATCTTGGAGAGAAACAACAAACGACCAAGTCGCGCTTCTCGATTTTTCGTAGCTCCCCAAACCATTTGAATAATGATTTCAAGAGGAATCTTTCGAATATATATTATATCAATGATGCTGAACCAAAGGAAAAAATTGTGTACTGATAACAGTTTTTTTCTGTATATTATTTTAAACAATAAGCAAGCTTATCACAAAGTAGACGAGACATATGATAAAGGTACAACGTTCGCTGAATCACGTAATATTGTAACAAGGTTGTTGTATTCAATATCGAGATTAGTGAAATGCAATAGTATTGATAAAACTATGACTTTTTGTTTGAAGCAGCCTAGGGTTTTATGGAAATATCGAATAACTTCCTGAAATTCATATAATCGTCATTGGATTGAAATGTATTGATTAAAAAAAAGTTGGAGATGTAAAATCCAGGCATTCATCTTACATCTCCAACTTTCGTTGACGAACTTGAGCTATTTCCGTGGTATAAATCTTCAAACTTCATTTTAAAATAAAGATCATATTAAGGAAGATATGCGTAATACGGTAGGAATATGACCTAAATCCGTGGAAATAATATTCTATTTATTCGATACTCCATAATTAAAGTACCAAGTGAATGGAAAACCGAACAAGCCATGTTAAAACGCACCAATCACCGAGTGTGACATTATGGCTGGACTGCTATTAGCATAGATACTAGTCTAGACAATTTCAGCGATACTTTAACACAGAAAAGTAAAAGTTAACCAACATTATCATTAGTTAGAGACGGCTCCACGGAATTTATTAAAGAAAGTGACGAAAGGATTGATAATAATGATTACGGTGAAAATGGCCGTCATGACGATCAGAGCGTCGGCGAATTGGGTGGTGGCCCAGTTCCTGAAGCCACCTTTGTCGATACCGTAACAGAGGCTGATGGAAGCAGTTGCGAACGCCACGATGCCGAAACATATGTGTGTCAGCCTGGATAATATACCGGGTATGTATTTACGTAGCTCGTATGCGTATAGTGACGTCAGACCGTTCAATAGAGAAGCTACGGTGAATACCATGGATACCAGAGCTGAAACAAATAATTAATCTTATATTTTTACTGAAAGATTTAATACTTTAGAAGTTTTTTTTTTCAGATTAGATTATTAGATACAACTCAAAGAATGATGTTTTTTTGACTAATTATCCTTCTTTTATCTTTTTCCAAATGTATTTTGGCAATACTGGTTTTCGCGTAATAAGACTAGCATTTATTTTAGGTATTTATTTAAATTTAAAAGTAATTTGAAGTTAACTTACCAAACTGTCCATGTAAGGTGTTAAAATTAATGCTCTTGCTAAGACTCATGAGGATGCAGCCTACGATAGCCACTACGGACCCTCCTATTTGCATTACCCAATGGATCAATCGTTTGTGTTTCAGTTTCATATTGGATAACCAACTGTCCGGAGCCAGCGCCAATATTGACTCGGCCATCAGAAGTTGAAACTGGAAGTAATGAATTTATGACAGTTTTTATTAAGAAATCACGTTTAGGGAGACAGGCAGTTAGTTGACTGAATTATAAAATATATTATATAATGTTGAAATTTCATTTTTAGTTTGTTCACGCTCGCCAGTAATTCTCCAATGCATCTTAATCTAATTTTAGCATACACAGTGGTTTTAGTTTTCATAAACGGTGGTTATGTTTAAAAATATATCTATTTTTACTTTATTTCGGCGTATAAAAATATCAACGTGGAAAATGTTCTTTGAAATTAAGGCGAGTTTTGGTTTCATAATAATTACCTATTATAAGGTTTTCCAATATACTTGTGAAGTCTCTTATATTTAAAAAGGCTTTAAATAAATGAAGCATGAGGTTAATAATTATTTAGTAGTTTATTTGTCTGAATTTATATGAGTGTATTCAATGGACCGTTAGAAAAAAATCCCCAAGTCTAATGATGGCTACTGACGAGTTCAAACAAAAACCGTGGTACAAACAAAGCAATCACGGCGAGATCACTTTTTTAAAATATTACACCTGAAATAATATGTTTGGTTCTTTTATATAAGCAAAAGTAAATTGATGCTTCCTATTTATATAATCATAATATTTCAAATATTGTAGCCATTCTAAATTAAATGATCTGTAGTGGCAACCTTACTCTAACAATATTTTTGCTTTTGTTTTAAATTTCAGGCTCCAGGGACAATACAAGTTTTAAAGTTTGCCACTTTGGGCTAAAAATACATAATATATATAATCTAAATTAGAAAAAACTGACGGTCAATTCATTTTCATTAGTTTTTATTATAAAATCATACACGAGGTCTCGCTCGTGTTGTTAAGACGTCTTATAGATTTTGTGGTGGTGTTGAGAACTTTCAGACTTACCCCGATCACGCATAGTAGTATATGTAGGAGTGTCGTTGTCAACGGGAGTCCAAAACGCAGGGCGTACCAAACACATATTCCAACCACTATCCCGACCAACATATGGGTGACTAATGTTGTAACAGATCTGACGGCTTTCAGCGCCACTTTCTCTTGAGGAGCAGAAAAGCTTTGATCTTTTGCACCATTTTGGACGTTCCCATCGACGATGTCCAATTCAGTAGCATTTGGAGACATTTTTGAGTTGGGTAAGTTCTCACTGTTGACGTTACTAAAATAAGCAACATAAGCTTTTTCTTTTTATATATATGGAGATAAATGTGAAAGATTGCGCGTGATTATTTCTTATCGTACAAGTTAATGAGCTTGTCAGTGTTGCGTATTAGATTGTACAGCTTTAAAATTATTTCGTTTCATTCGTTTAAGAGTGATATGAGAGTGAATTGTAGTGTAATTTCAGTAATATGCTATAATATCGGTTGGTACACACGACTGCTCGTCAGATTACCATAATATATCAAATTTCACCAGTTGATTTTACAATCTACCATCAACACATTAGAGTTTGAAATCAAATAAATAAATTTGACAGATTTGAATAATCTGAAGTGCCGCCGAATATGTTTATTTTTAAATCATGTTTGATAAATTTTTAAATGTTGATTTGAATTGTCATGAAATTTTACCGTGAACTGATATTGTGCAAGGTAATTTATGTATCTTAATATTATATTATGAAAAGGTTTTATCCAGGGTAAATAATTAATGAACTAGATAAGTCTGACTCGCGTACCAAGGATTCCGTAAAAATTAAATTGCTGAAATTTGTTATAGATTTTACTGTAATTTGTATTAGAATAACAAACTTGTTCTACGTTGTCATTAATGTATTATAATTAATTAATTTGTTCAATTTAATATATTTTGATTTCGTTTATGGTAGAGTCCTAGTAATAAAATAATAATAAAAAAGAAACATATTTTAGTACAAATAAAGAAATTAATAATTTTAAATAAGTTATAATTGGAGAAATTAGGGTAACTTCAATATATATATTTTTTAAATACTGTAATTAAAAAATGAAGGGATAATGGAATTCGTAGAAATCATAAGCTCGAAATATTGTAAAATTAATTCCTATAATAATGGTAAAAAATAAGCATTGACTTATTTGCCATTTATTAGATTTACGTGGAGCTCGAGTAATTGTTACTCCAGAAGTAATTAAATAACAGTATTTATAAGAAAAAAATTTAAATGGGTTAAATGTAATAATTCTTAAATAGCACCAATTTCGAAGGAGATAATCTTCTATGAAAGAAGCTCGAAAAAAGAAATAAAAAAATAATTCAGGAAAAATAAACAAAATTATATGGTATGTTTACATTGTTTAGTCCCCTCTTGACAGATATAAAATATATCCTAAAATTAAAAGATTTATATTAAAGTCATATAATCATCTGTTCATACCTGTATTAATATGGTTAAAATTATTTTTCATTAATTAATTACACTCAAATAAAGGGTTCTTTTTTAATAATTTTGACATACATATATCCAATGTGACTTTGTAATCTTATCAATATTTGCATGCTATCGCTGATGGGTAAATGGGCTGAACTCAAATATATTTCAATCTACAATGTACCTCATTTAAAAGCAAAAAAATATTATATTTTATTAAAATGGCAATTATTTATGATCGGATAACTACAACTGCTAATTCGAAGATTAATATTAAAATTTGAATAAAGATTAAAAATATTATTGAATAATTCGGTATATTAGTTCATGTTTTTCATAAAATAATTATTAATAAATGTATAAACACATTTTATTAGCGGTAAGTCGAACAGATAAAGTTCTAGAACGCGTAATATTTCTTGTAATTTCAATTAAGACTATAAATGGTATTAAAACTGTAGGTGTTTCTTGGGGAATTATATGTACATATAATGTTGAGCATTATTCATTCATCCGTAAAGCGTAAATCTTAATCATAAAGGTAGGAAAATTGATAGTTAGTATTATAATACGACTAGTTCTAGTTAAATATATGGAAATAATCTTAAAAGATATAAAATAAAATAAATGTAAATATAGATAACAAATAAATGTAGAATCATTTGTGTTATTATTAATCCAATTAATAACTTAAACTATTTGTGTAATTTACTTTAAATAATGTTTACAAAAATAAAATGACGATTAGGGATAAGTCAAAATGAGTAAGGAATAAATAATTATCCAAAAAAATGTTCTTCATCAATTAATAAATAAACTAAAAATATTACTTGTAGGATCTAAAATAGAAAAAAATATTCTATAATTTTCATATATTTTTATTAATAGAAAAAGTATTTTTTTTAATTATTGGTGAAATTATTAATTTCATTAATAAAAATATAATAATTTTAAATTATTAAAAATACAATAAATACAATTGATTTTAATTATTAATGAGTGTTATTTAAAAAATTAAAGAATATTATAAAAATAATATTTGAATTTGACATATTTTTGTTTTAGTTTAACTAATTCTTTATTATTTGACTATTAGCTATTGATACATAACTATAAAATTGTTTAAGAGATCAGTACTTGCATTTCGTCATATAATAAATAATTATGAATTGAATTAATAAAATATTGTAATAAAAACCCTAAAATAAATAATTAAATGAAATTAATATAGTTAATCACCTAAGAACTTAAATATTATATTAAATGCAATTATTAACCTAAAATAAATAAGACTAAGATTAGCCCCACTAATTTCTAAGCATTATCTAGTAAAATACCAGGCCGGTTTAAGAAGATGTTAGTTTGATTAATACGACCTGGATTAGCGACAATTTTAATCCCTAAAGAATAGTTCATGAGTGAATAACATCTGTAGCTGTGACTATTATTCGAAATTTGGTTATTTATGGGTATAATAATTCGATAATCAACATCTAATGAATGAATATTTATTTCATTAGAGGGAATTATGTAAAAATCAAATTCACAGATTATTGATTATTTCAATATCATTGATGGCCGATAGATTATAAAGTAATAAGAGGATTATTTAATTCATTTAAAAGATATAGGCGCAATTAAGGTAGAGCAATAAAAATGTATGTGATAGCAGGGATAATAGTTAAAATTAATGGCTAAAACTCAATTTAATGTTAGATATATTAATATTAGGGGGGGTATATTTTGATATCATTCAAATATGATTTAAAATATTATGTTTTAAGCTTTCATGGTCATTTGATCATTCGGTCAATGATAGTTTCTCGCGCGAAAGCTACTATGTACTTTGTTTTTGTTGAGTTCCCGATATTTCGGTTCTGTTGCAAGCGCCATGATCATGGGGTAACTGAAGTTTTTGCGAGTCGGTGTCATAGGCAGACATATCGTATACCTTCTTTCTAGTCTTTTTTCGTTCGATACCCGTACCACAGTTCACTACGTCACCACTAACTCGCACCTGTTCTCGACACATAAAACCCACTCGGGTCGCGAAACGACATTTTCCTTCTTTATATTCTTGTTTTGACAATTGCAAGCCTCTGGATTCCAGACACTCGACAATTTAAACCCTTCCTCACGATCGAAATTCTTGTGCTTTGTTATTTCAATCGCTTTCCTCACCATTCCTGGTAATTCATTGGCGTTTAGTCGATATAATCTGTGGATTGTGTAGCTCGTTCAAGGTCCAAATCAATCTAATGTTCGCGATTGCTGATTTTTGTGTTGTTTTCCTTTCTCCTCCTTCTCTTCTCGGACTCCTTTGATATGTTCCTTCCTTCATTTCGTTTGGTCAATATACGAACTTACCACAACTGCAGTGAATCTTATAGACACCAGGGGGCCAATTCTACTAAATAAATTTTGTTTAAATTGAATCGAAACCGGATCGAAACTGAACGAAGTCACAGTTTTTAGTGGTTTTTTATTCTACTAAGTGACATACGATACAATTCCAGCTAAAATAGAACTGGAATTGTATCATAGTAGAATGGGCCCCCAGGTTTCTCTAAGAGGATATCTTTTATATATGGCAAAAATACCGGCTGTGTATCTACTTTGTGTCTCTGTTTATTTGAATTAAAATATGTTTATTTTGATTAAAGATACAAGTTTTCTTATCGAAGTGTGAAAGTCTCAAAAGATTTTACAAGGAAACTTTTGAATGAGTAAAATTGTAAATAATGATATCAGCCTGTCGAATTAGTATATTTTGTAAAACAAAGCGATTGATTTGAAGGTAATTACACACTTGAACTTGTTTGTAAGTCAATGAGTATGCAATAGATAATTGATAAGATTCCTTTATTTATTTACAGTAAAGAGTAAATAATGAAGGATAACGTAAGTCAAATATATTCTATTTATAGGTTTAATACCTACGTAAGAGTTTGTTTGTTACTTTTATAGACTAAAACGCCTTTGGCGATTATTATTATTTAGAGTATATACCTCTGTATAAGAGTACCTTGGTGGCGTAGTGGTTAAGCGCCTCGGCTCACGACCGTTATTGATAAACAATTTTCGCAAGGGCCGGTGATGGGATGGGTGACCAAAAAATTATTATCTCGATCTACTCAGTGGTTTACAAAGCACGTTAAGCCGCTATTCATGGTTGCATTCAGTCATTAATAGGGTGGGCATGGAGGTTATAGCCCATCCTCCCTATTCGATTCGGTTCCATCCTTCGGGAAGTCCTGTGTCACATCAGTTCTTTTTCCGTTTTACTGAACTGTTGAGAATCGTTTATTTTTCAGTTCAGTAACACTAATGTAACACAGAAAACAAATGTATGCGACCAAGCTAATAGGCCGATACCGGGCCCTCCTTTCAAGATACCGGGTTCTTCCTATCCGCGTGAGGTGAACCACAGCGGGTTTTACCAGGTAGGACTCAAACACTAACCTGCCCTTTTAAGAGCGGGGTAGAAGGAGAGCCTTGGTGTAAAGTTAAAGGTACATTTTCCATGTTATTAAAAAAAGAAAAGGAGATAGGCCGATGATAAATCTTTTTATTTATTTGTTAAGTAAAAATATACATCTGCTGCAACTTCGCCTTCGCTTGCGTAGATTTTTATTTAAATGTATTTATTTTATTTATAAAAAAGGGATAATTTTAAACTAATGGTGTTAAAACCATAAATATAATGAGTATTTCTTTTGAAAATATCAAAACAATATTTTTTTTTTAACATTAATCAAGTATAAAAGTTACATACTGAGACGGGTTCGATACTAGTTGTTGGTTGGAAAATAAAACCGCTGACTAGGCTATATTTATATAAATATAAAAGAAACTATAACAAGAAACAAAAAAAGATAATTAAAACAGTTCGTATAAATTTCTAAAATTATGATAAGTGCTAGAACCAATAACATACCCCTTTATTGTGTTGATCTAGAACAGCGGTTCCCAAATTAATATAGTCTACAGCCCACTTTGAGAATAAATTATTTTTTCACCTACTTAAAAACCACCATCACTTCATATTAATTAATTATCATAAGCGTAAGATATTAGAGGAGATTATATTAATTTTAATTACATTTTTACTACAACTCACAAGAGTTAACCTAAAACCTGAGCGCAGTAGGTAATACACAGTGGCGTTCAGGTTTCAAGTTAACTCTTACGGGCTACACCTGTCAGTGAAAATGATTGTTGAAACGCAACTTTATAGTATTCAAACAAGGTATCTTTTATTCAAAATAAAACAAACATAATCGATTCTTATATAAAAACTAATGTGTAGGATGAATCTGATGCTGTTTAATAAGTCCGCTGAGTCTTGCGATATCTGGTTCCAATTTATTCAAGAACAGTCGCAAGTCGCTACGTTCGGTAACATGTAAACGATGTCTCTTTTTAATAAGCAGTGTTGTCACATCACTAAATCCACGTTCACACAAATATGACGATGGGAATGCTATCAAGAATCTTTGAATGATTGACCACAATCCAGGGTACAGTTGCAAGATCGGTTTTTATAACCAAAATTCTTGGTAACCATTTTTGAACTTGATTTTTATTTCCTCGTTTGTTGTCAGTTTTTTAAGTTCTTCTTCCAGCTGAGGTCACATTGCAGTGTTGACATTTGAAAACGGATCCAACATCCAGTCTGGTATTAACAAGTTCAAAATATCCTGATATCGTTCGGTGACGTCAATATGGAGGTTTTCCAAATGTTGGCAGTAGGCAAATAAATTGTCGTTACTGCAGGATTTTAATAAATTCAGAAAATTGTGAAACTCACGTCTGCCCATATTCTTTTTGTGTAGAAGCAGTTTGGCTGCGAAAGCAGCAACGACGTTTTTTGTTTTAATTAAATTTAGTTCATCGCCTTGCAGCTGGACATTCATGTCGTTGAACAATTAATACAGGTCTGTCATGTAGGCTATATCATTCTTTGAGCTAATGAGCTTGTTGTGCAATTCTGTATCTTTAGTTTCTTAATACTATCATAGAGTTGAACAGGTTGTAAAATCGAGTCAGACAATTGTGTCTTGATAGCCAACAAATTTCAGTATGAAACAACAAACGGTTAATATCCTTGTCATTAGTAACACAAAGCTGATGAAATAATCAAACATTTAAACAGCTGCTGCAGATTTTATTGACAATAATATTATTTATTCAGTCTAAGCTATTACAAGAACAGAATAGATTATATTTTATTGCCCTACTATGTACATACATAATTGGCAGATGTTATCGCATAATTGGTCACAACGGTATACCCGATCGGATATGCAATATAAAAATTTGTAATCTAAAAAACATAAAAAATAAACAAGAGACCTCGAAACTATAAATTAATATTGATTCTTAAAAAAATAAACAAAATTGACATCACTAAATTATTATCAAATTATTCTGTCAGTCTGTAAAATGCCTTTTCAATAACTAGATTTTTAAACTTAATTAATGTCAGGGCTTTAATGTCGGTAGGGAGGTGATTGAATACTTTGTTACCGGCACTAAAAGTACTTTTACAAAACAAGTTATTATTTGTACGTGGCACACAAATGTCATATTTGTATTTGCTACGCAGTATTGACCGGATCGTCGCCTTGCTTACAAAACATTCACTATTTTTTTCAATTATTATTGATATTTCCAAAATATAAATACGTTTCAGTGTAATGTATTTTTTTATATAACGATGGGTCTCACAGTGTCATCCAAATACATGTTATAAATAATGTGCAAACATCTTTTTTTGCAAAATAAATGTTGATTGTATATTTACAGTTTCCCCAGAATATAATGGCATAAGTAAGCAAGGCATAAACCTGACCATAGTATGCAATTCTCGCCATATCAGTCGAAGCCTTTTTAGCATGTATAAAAAGAGCGATAACATATAACTGGATATTTTTTGATTGATTTTGCAGTTACATCAAGAAAATTTATATCATCTGCTTCATCAATTTTTGTATTATTTTCTAAGTACTTGTGTAAGACGAAAGCTGCACGATCGTTTCACAAATCTACACTGAGAGATAAATGAAACAACCTTTAAACGGTTTCATCGCGTTTGTATTTAGTTTTAGACGTTTCGGACCCTTTACAGGTTTCGTGTTTAACATTTTTCAATTGAACTTGACTGTAGCTATGAAATAAAACCAGGAGAAAAATACAGTTAATTTGAAAAATTCCTTCGTTACACTATAAAGTCAAATTTCATTACAATTTAAAAAATAACGAAAAAAGGTTATTTATTCAATAATAAATATTGATTTAACAAATTTTATAATTCACCTATTACTATAATGCAAGACAACAGTAAGTAGATGTCGAGAAATAGTTGTCGGTGGTTTAATACACATATTAATCAACGTTATACCATTTATAAAATATGAAACAATGAATTTTGAAACAAAATTACATTTTTTGTAAATAATCTACTGCGTATTTTAATATTTCATTTTTCTACATTATATTTTCGAAGTTTTTGAAAGAAATGAAGAGGTCTAATAAATGCACACTAGCGTTTACTTTATATTATTACAGCACATTAGGATGCTATACCATCGACTCCGGTTGTGTCGACTTTTATCTATCTAAGTGTTGACGTTTGATCTCCCCTGGTGACTGTTTGTCGGTGATCTTTCCATATTTTCTACGGTCTTCCACTTATTACATCCACATTCTCGTCCACATTAATGCTCAACATCATGCTTGTTTTAGGAAAGTCTCTTCAAAGGGTCTTTATTATTGATTCAATGTTATATAGATTGATTTTCTCTACACTATCTCTAGGCTGGAGGTGTATCGTCTGGGATTTTCATATATTATATTTGTTAGTTATAAAAAAATACAATGTAATCACGTTTTTTAGATTTTGTAAAACGGTCTAGATAAATGTTTCTTAAAAAATTATAGTAGTTAGTAGCCAATAAAATTAAATGTTGATTACTAATTTTAAGGTTAAAAAATCACTGGTCTCATGTGTTCAAAACGAGATATTAACCTGTAGTCCACAAATACCTCTGCAAACTATTCCCTTGCGACTGTTCTGCTGATGAATTTCTTAAGTTATTAACTACTTTCGTTAATGTCTAAGAAATCTATAGACAGTAAATACTCGTAAATATTCGGTTAAGCCGAAAATTAAAAATCAATAAAACGTTGTCATAAAAAGTAATGACATTGTTATATCATGATATATTACATTTGCTTACATTAGTCTGTAAATTAAATTATTTTCGATAGATACGAGCTTATCGCATCTCTGTTTGATAAAGAAATCGATAAACTTGTGTAATAGGTAAAACCAGTACCTACTAATACTATAATAGATAATTGTGTCACTTTCTAAAATGTCCTTTTAATCGTTTAAAGAATGTAATGAAAGGGCTAATGATCACAATAATTGTGAAGACGAGTGTCAATACAATAAGAGTATCTGCAAGATTGGAAGTAGCCCAGTTTCTGAAGAAGTTTTTATCGAAGCCGTACGAGAGGCAGATGGAAGCAGCAGACAAGGAGACGATTCCGAAGCAAATGTGAGTCAACTTAGATAAGGCCCCGGGTATGAACCTGTGAAATTTATTGGCATAGAACGAAGTGAGTCCATTCACCAGGGAAACCGAGGTAAAAACCAACGCAACAAGACCTGCAACAAATGAGAGGATATGTGAGTGAAAAAATATTAACTATAAACGAAAAATAACAATATTTTAAATTACACCCAGAGAAAAGAACAAAAGAGTTTTGGAAACTATTGCTTTTATATTCAGTAAAATTAAACATTGTACACCTAATATATTTTTCATAATTTTTTAAACAAATAACTTTTTATCTATTCAATATTATTTATTTTCTCACTTAACTTAGTTTAAAATTAAGAAATTTTGTGACATACCAAACTGTCCATGCAATGTATTCCAGTGGATCTCCTTGTCAGCAATTTTGATGAAACTACCAGCGATGACCATTAACGAGCCAATAATCTGTACGATCATATGTACTAGCCTCTTGTGTCTCAGTTTCAAATTTGAAAGCCAACTGGCTGGTGAAAGAGATATGATCGCTTCAGCCATCAACAGTTGATACTACAATCAAAATAATGGTTCTAGTTTACAACGTAAATTAACAATCCTAAAGACGATTCTTATAAAACATCATATGATCACTTTCACTACAACAGGATGATTTTGAAAAATACAACCTTTAAGTTGAGGATTTGAAAAAAATTGTAATATTATATGTGATTAGTCAAGAGCAATTCACCATCCTTAGTAGAGTATACAAATAAAAATGTCATCATCAGTCTTAATGTTCCTACTGCATAGGCTTTCCAATTGGATAGAATCGAATAAATAGGTTGAGGGAATATAAACCAACAATAACTATTATTTTATTTATTATTTAAAAAACTTTACCACTTTTATTGTACTTACCCCTATCACACAAAGTAATAAATGTAGATTTGTCGCATTTAAAGGAGTACCGTTTCTGAACGCAAATAATATAGCACTCCCAACCACAACACCAATGCAGATGTGAGTAAACACAGTTGAGATCGAGCGAGCTAGTTTGAACGTCACCGATTCATCAGAACTATTATTCTGGACATCTTGAGGTTCATTTTGCATGTTCCCTTTGACCATATTTGATTCCGTAACATTATGTGACATATTTCTAAGCTCCACTCTTACATTAGTTTACACGAAGTGGTCCTGATAAAACTCTGTAACATTTTTTTATATGTCGAGATAAACGTATTATAAATATTACGATGTCATTGTTATCAGATTAAATAGTCAGCTGAAAAAAAAGTGGAAATTTCATTATTGCCGAGACATAATAAATACGTTTTTATTAACTTTGATATATTAAGGTTACTGAAAAAGTTACGTTGAAAGTCGTCTATTGGGCGTAGAGATGTCACTGACACCTAGATTAAAAAAGTATCTCTTAAACTGTTTTGCGGTGATAGGCTTCCTATGAAGCTGCCTGGTCTGCTACCATCCTCCTTTTTGAAACCGAAGCCAAGCATCCTGATGCGTTTCGGCGGATTGCGGGAGAACCAGTGTCAATGGCTGTTAAACGGTCAGTAGCATTGTTCAAGAACGGTACTGAGCCTATGTTGGAGTCGTACTGGGTCAGATCGGTTTGGAGACTAGCCGGATCCGAAGCACGGTCTTGCCGTTGATCGACCGCAGTTAGTAGGGGGCCTAAGTAGTGCGCTAGCCATGTGCAACAGGCTTCCCCGCCAACTTGCAAAAAATCCCGTGATGCGCCACCGTGCCAGTTGGCGACTGGACGCGAGGACCGAGTGGACATCTTCGGTGGGGTTCGGGCGTCCCCGCAGTCTCCGTGTTGATTTTCCCATATGTTGGCTCTACTAAGGCGATCCAGTTGTTCAATGGACTTCGCCTCGACTGTTAAACCATCACTCCAATCACACTCAAAAGATGAAAAGTCGAAAGGGAAAGAGTTTAAAACAACGGCAGCACTTCTTCCCAGTAAAAGTGCATCTCTCTAACATCCGAGAGCTGCACTCAAATCTCGATTCGGTCCACCACCACCTTGAAACCGAAAAGCCAAACCTTTTCTTCCTAACGGAGACGCAGATAGCAACCCCGTCAGACGTGTCGTACCTCAACTACCCAGTTTACACACTGGAACATAAATTCCAAAAGAGGTTTGGGGTCTATGTGTACGTGCGCGATGACGTCTGCTATAAACGTCTCTGTGGTTTTGAAAAACCTGGCCCTTTGGCTGTTGGTTGATACTGGTGTAGAGAAACAGCTCTACGTAGGTTTATATTGATCGCACAGCGGTAACCAGGAGACAGCTAGGCTCATTGAATACCTCACTGAGATGGCAGATGCGGCTATTCAAAGGTACAGGCAGCTGAGCTTCCGTTTCTTGAGAATTTTAACGTCCACTACCGCGAGTGGTTATACCCATTCGAAAAAACAGACCATGCTGGACGCGAGATACGCAACTTTGCATTGTCGTTAGATCTCACTCAGTTTGTAAATGAAGCAATGCGAGTACCGGACATCGATGGCCATACCCCCAACTGCCTAGACCTTCTGTTGGCAACAAACCCCCACAGGTACTCTGTTTCGGTATCTACTCCACTGGGTTCATAAGATCACTTTGTGGTCAAATCTGTGTCAATCTCCTCGCCTCCAGAATTCAGTCCTAGGGGCACAAGGCAAGTTTGGCGATACAAGTCAGGAGAATGGGACGAAATGCGTCATTTTTTCGGGAAGTCTGTTTTTCGTCGGACGACCCCTCTAGCTCCTGTAATGCAGTCGTAGACGTGATTCAGCAGGGAATGGAATATTTTATTCTATTCCCCGATATCTCGCTTGATCATAGAACCCGACCTTGGTTTAATACGGATTGTGCTCGTGCTGAAATGCGAAAAGAGTATGCTTACCGTGAATGGGTTCAAACTCGCAACCATAAACTCTGAGCCCAGAGGGTTCGTGCGAAAAAGAAGGTATGTGCGCCTGAACCGTCTCCTATTTTAACACGACTGTTCCGCCTCTCTCTCGAAGTTCCCAAAATGTGGAAGTTAGCCAATGTGCAACCTGTACCCAAAAAGGGTGATCGTGCCGATCCCTCCAACTATCGCCCAATATCTATCACCTCCATAATTTGCAAAGTTATGGAAAGGATTCTTAACATTAAGCTGCTCTCGTACCTTGAAAAACACGACCTACTCAGTGATCAGCAATATGGTTTTCGCCAGTGCCGATCTACTGGGGATCTTGTTGTGTATGTCACGCACCTCTGGGGCGAGGCTATCGAGAAACATGGCGAAGCGGTTGCAGTATCGCTCAACTTCTCGAAAGCCTTTGACAGGGTCTGGCACACCGGCCTGCTGAGCAAATTTCCAGCATATGGTATTACTGCTGACTTTTGCGACTGGATATCTGACTTTTTGAGCGAGCGGTCGATTAGTGTGGTCGTTCGTGATGGATGTTCCTCGGACCTCAAGGAAATCGACACTGGAGATCGTCAAGGGTCTGTTCTTTCAGCAACCCTTTTCCTGCTGCACATTAATGACCTGCTTATACCCGGTATTGTTGGGTACGCAGACGACAGCACGGTTACGGAAAGATATATATCTAACGCAAAAGCCAGCAGTGAGGACATTCGTATCCAGAGAGAGGCTATGGTCGAATGGACCTAAGTTTTGTTTCCCAATGGGGGGACAAAAATTTGGTCAGTTTTAACGCCACCAAAACACAGGCGTGTTTATTCTCCGCCAAAAAAGAGCCCTTTCATCTTGGCTCTTTCTTTCTGTGGTACAACTGTAGAAATCTCTGACGTTCTTGATCATCTTGGCATGAGGTTGTCTTCAGACCTTAATTTCGGTGACAGCATCCAAACAAAAGCCCAAACTGCGGCCAAGAAATTAATACTGGAACAGCATCTTACTTTGTATAAAGCGCAAATCCGTCCGTGTATGGAGTATTGCTCACACTTTTGGGATGGTTCAGCAAAATATCAGCTTACCGCACTCGATTCGGTGCACCGTAGAGCCAGAAAACTTGTGGGGGATTGTGAACTCGATAACTCCAAGCTCCACAGTCTGTCTCATCGCCGAAAAGTCGCTTCACTGTCGGTATTCTACAGATTGTACTTCGGCGAGTGTGCTTCTGAGCTGCATCGGCTCATTCCGCCAGGACATTTTTACCACCGGGAATCCAGGCGTACGGCAAATTATCACGCCCATCTGGTTCACATTCCACGTATCCTAACAAAGCGCTTTGGAACATCATTTATTATGCGCACAGCCAAGGAGTGGAATAGCCTCTGTTTTCCCGGTTTTCTATTACCCAGATTTATTTAAAGCATGAGTGAATAGGTATCTTCTGGACAAACTCGTCCCATCTTAGGCCTTATGCTTAATGCCATTACGCCTGAGGTCAAGAGTGTGCCCATTTCGGATAAAAAAAAAAAATTTGCCAAGATCAGCGATACAACCTATTACTAGACTATAATTGGTTGAACGGGAGCCTTGGCGAGTGTTCACTCGGGGTAGACATCAACAAGTAGAGCATCAACACCAAAACCAACAAAATAAAATAAGCATTTACTCAGAACATTTATTTAGCAGAATGTATCCCCGAACCAAAATAGACACAAGCATTTTTCTAATCAAACACGAAACCAATAAGACCTTTTTACATTTTCCATTACTGAGGGGTACAAAACAAAGGTCCGTTCCCAAATGAACCAACCGTCGGCGCAATTAGGGGCCACCGTTCGGACCTCCGCTAATGGAATTAAATCCAATTAGATTTCAGGGTTACGAGGTGAAGTTTGCTTCCAGTAAACAAATGACTTTCTATTAGACTCCACACCTGCTCTTTGGGTCCCGATAAATCGCTATGGCCGATTTGAAGGTCTGACATTTATTGTATTAATTAGTTTCCGATTAAACAGCTGGTCTTGTAACCCTAATTGTTCAGTTGGACCCTCCATTGAAAGTTCTCTGTAGTTAATTTATGTGTCTTTGAATTAGGTACCACTACCACGGTCTCTTAAAATTCAGGAGATAATCTTATGTTCACTAGATTCGATTACAGTGTATTTTTTTGCAGAGATTCTCTTTTATCGTATTTGCATAAAACTTTCTTCAAGCAATAATAATTTGCCACGGTTAAAATATTAAACATTCTCTGGAATCATTTGCTCTGAATAGGTTGACGTTGAGGTCAGTTTGTACCAAATTATTATCAAGACGGAACTAATATTCAGCTTTTAAGCGTGTTTATGCTTACAGCAGATTAATATGTAATAAGAACAATACATTGTCAAATACTAGCTAAATTAATACTAGCCGAAGCACAAAACGAATTTTCTTTACACCTCGCAAACAAATGACAGATGAATTCTAAAGATCCCTTTCTAAAATACGAAGCAAATTCTTATCGCAACGGACGATCATTTATTTTTACATATCTTCGATAAAATAATTTATGCATTACTTTGATAAAATTGTTAAATGTGATTTTGCCCACGATCTTTTAGTCAAACGATCTCTAAGAGTATCATCCGAATCTTACATGAAATTGAGTAAGTCACACAAGCAGTGGCGCAGGTACACCGAACGTTCTTCCGCATTCGTTTCATTTACAGAACGCAAACTTATTGCAAACACAAACACAGGATAAAACCAATCACATCCCATACGGGAAGCGATATCACAAATAATATGAGAAAGCAGTATGTTGTGCTCTAAGAAATAACGTGATGATAAAACGGATATTTTTAGTCGTATCATAATTTTCGTTACACAGATACAAAAGTGCTCAGAGCGAGTAGTCTGTGTCACAACTTACAACTATATACAACTTATTACTTACGTTCTGTAGATAGCAGTTCCGGGGCTATGAACACCTAGCTTAAAAGGAACCAAGTTGCATTTATTCTCTTTTACAGTTGCCGTGACTAATCATATTATATTATGTATTAGATAATTTCACATAATTTGCACAAGGTGAGTAGAAAAAGCCTCTTTTTATGAAGATAACGAAGGTGCCACAACACTTAGACCCAATCAGTGACGTGCACACCATATATGCAAAAAACATTGCATACCCTACTCATAAAATCCAGCTAAATCTTACCTGAATAACGTATGATACATTATCTGAACACGAGA